TCATTGTGCATTGACAGTTTACATTTTGGGCGCGAAAATAGCGCGCTTCTGTGGTTCACTTTGATTGGAACAAAATTCATGTTGATCCGAACTTTTGCACTCCACATCTCTCGTGAAAATTTATATTTTATATCCGATTCAACTTGATTGGAAAAAGTGCGCAACTTGATTGGGAAAAGGTGTAGTATCAGCCAATGCAGCACTACTGTACATGTAGTGTCCTACCTATTACTCATACAGTACATGTACAGTACCACAGTCCTCGTGTTGCATTCAAACAACATGTACTCTAGATAACGCAGGATGTGCCGACTCTAACACCAGTACCACAGCATGCCTTCAACGGCCACAAGATTGTAAGCCCTGCAACAAGTAGATATAGGAGTACATTACTAATACGTTTAGTTATCGTCGTCGTAAGAGGGGGAGGACCAACTACGCATGCGAATCCTTGAGACACGTGAACTGTACGCGATCACAAATGTGCTAATTTACTGTAGTGCCAACCAATATTTCAGCCAATGCAGCAAATACTGTACATGTACAGGACTGCTCAATGTTGTTACAAGGAACTACTTTACTGAGTGTCGGATAGATAATTCAACGACGAAGTAAAGTGCACGAGGTATATACGTGGACGTTATGTGCATGGGGAAGGCAACCAATGATACGTAAGTGGAGGATGTATTCATTTAGAGCAGGATGAATAGTACCTTAGGTAAAACTTAGTCAACCAAGTCAGCTAGCATAACATACTCGCCACGTAGTGCCATGATGTTGTCCCCGTCACCTTGATCACGGGCTGTGGTAGCAGTGACACCACCAACTGACGAGCGAATACGAAGCGGCGCCACTCAACATCACTATCATTAGTGAACCGGGGTACCAGCGACAACTAACACCTACAACTAACACCTATTATCATTATGCCCAAATACTACCTTCGTCGACCCCATCTCTTTGTCGACTTCATCCCCATAAATTTACGTGACGTCACCCCAACCATTCTCTACGCCCTTATTCGTGTGGGATCCAAGACCTCAGTAGCCACACAGTTACGTTTAGTTTAGGTACTACGTAGTATGTACTAGTAGTTTTAAAGGCTTGTGGCTAAAAAATGAACTGACGGCGTCGCAGTATCATGAGATACCGATGTAGACCTGCAGCGGTCCTGAGGCCATCTCCTCACATTTTTACATTGATATTAACATACACGACCAACCTCACCACTAACACCCCAGCGTACATGTTCCCCAATAACAACTACAGTATAACTAACGTTAGTCCCCTTCCGCGGCCATTGGCCTTCATATCACTACGACAGCGCCTGACACTACTACCTATGCCTATGTCACCACTGCTGTTAACTCACATGTCAGTATTATACTAACAAACTGGCCCTGTGACCACTACTATCACCACTACGATTCCCCTGTTATCTCGTTCCAATCGTTTCATTTTACTGTTAGGTCAGATAACCTCTCGAGATAGTGCAAATGACATCCACCCTGTCCATTATAAGTGGTTTGTACCCGATCCTAGTGATATCTGATTGGGTCGGGTAACATCGAAAATACGAGGATACATCAAATCTTTGAGTATTGTGTGTCGGCAGACATAGCAACTGGGAGTGGATAGAATGTGCAAGGTTCAAACCAGTGCAGCAACCATAATTGATGTTACTATGAAACACAAGGACTTCTGTGGGCAAGGCTTCGCAATGGGGTAACTAAGCTACATGCAATGCTATGACGTCCTGAAGCTTGCAAGGGGTTCTTAGTAGGGTGTATGAAAGTTAATAGCTTGAAGGGCACGCTATGCAACTGATATTCACCACTTGGCGTTGGAATAACTCGTTTTTCCTCGGTTTGATTCAGTCGACAGGTCATATCTCCAGCAGGGGACGAATTGTAAAAATTGCTGAAACTAGCCAATCAAAGAAGAGTATCTCGGCTTCCTTTTGCACCAATTAGAACGAGGATATAGATGAATATTAAAAACATGACGTGAAAGTTGAAACAGTGTAACGTTACTCTTAATAGTAGCCATCATTGTGGACCAGAGTGGTAGTTGTTTTGGACCTCCTAAAGGAGTAAATCGCATCTGGAATTATTGGATTTGGATAAAAGCTCTCACTGTCAAGCAAGACATGTTTCAATTCTTATCGGATTTATTCAATTTAACCCAAAAATCAAGAATGGGCGCTTTGGCCGTTCTTGCTTCGGCCTTTTCGCTGAGGTTCGGCCAATTACGGTTAATATCCGGTCACTTACGGTTAACATCCGGTCATCCGGAATTATCCGGTGTTCTTCTGTAGAAGCTGGACTGTATCTGCCCAATCATAAGTTAGCTAAGCAGTCCGTTAATCATCACTTTTGGTTTTTGCTCTCGACCACACAAGTGTTTCTCGTCGTCGTCCCTCCTCAGTGCTACCTACTTCCTCGTCCCTCTAGATAGAGTTTTGGGCCTGAAAATGTAATATTTCAGGTTACCAGTCGGGCCCTTTTGGCACAGTGCTTTGCGGAGAAACTCGCTCAGAGCAACTCTTCATGTGTATTTGCAGTTAACGTACGACATTTTTTATTGTCGGCGAGGGTTTTCACCTCGGCGAGGGTTTTCACCTCGGCGTAGATGTTTAGGATGCTCATTGTACTACATGGCGTTGCTTGTCTTCCTCAATCATCGGCGTAGATGTTTAGGATGCTCATTGTACTACACGGCGTTGCTTGTCTACCTCAATCATGTACCTCAAACGTTATGTGCATTGAGGTAGGCATGCATTACCTTTGCATCGTTTATTATGTTAATCCTTGCAGTTAACGACATATATGATTTTCGGCGAACTGATGTGGTGCATACTCGGAACCGCCTATGAAGTAGATAAACAAAGCGACGCATACCTTTCGACGTAGGTGAGTTAACATGTATAATTTTGACTTTTAGTGAATAGCAGTTGAACGAACGTGATGGATTACAAGGCACGTCACTTTGTTGCTCCATGCATGCATAGCCCCAATGCTTGACCACTCCATTTCGCCAGCTACCAAATATCTCGTTAGCTCCAGCGATTCGCTTTGTCGCGATGCCTGCGATATGACATGGAATCTACTACAGCTGTACCTCGTGCATGTAACGTTTCATTAACATGCACGATATAGTGATGTGACAGGTGGGGGTAACGCCTTGCTACCACCTTGCCCGCACCCAGCTCCTAAGTACCTGACTCATGACGCACCCTAGCTAATGCTTGCCTGGGGATGTGTCTCGAGGGCATGTATGGCTTAGAAGCGCTAGCCTAGTGAAGCCCCCAATGTACCCGCATCCATTGTATACAAAAGTGCATATTAGTGTAGGAGTAGTGAAGTAGACTAGATTTCATAGTAATGAGGATTAAGGAGATCTTTGTAGATCTTCACTTAATACATTGTGCATTTTGCCCTCAACTACCTACGCTTCCTCGCGCAATGCTACAATCGTCCTTCTGATGCAAGACGTAGGACGCGTCTTTTGTCGTGGCGTCGTATTTGGCAGATCGTCCTGCACGAATGGGTGTCCTATATGTCTCAGGCGAACTTAGGTAGCTGCAAACAGCTCCTTTGGACACACACCAACCTCGTCGGCAATGCGGGGAATGGTGAGTTTGGCCTTGCGAAAGGCCACGATAGATCCACGCTGCTCAAGCGTGAGTGCGTATCCTTTTGGCATCTAAGAGAAGCGTGTGAGTCGTAGTAGTGTATATAGGTGATTGATTCTACCATACTTGGGGTGGCCATAAGTTGCCAGGATCGCACTCTGCGGTGGATTTTGAATTGTGTACGTTTCACATATGGCCAGGTTTTTCCCACTCAAAAAAGTATTTTCGACTTTTTTCTATGTGTATACATCGTTTTAGGTATTTAAAAGCATCAACATCACCACAATTTTAATTGGCGTGCACTGACTGAAATAGCGCTTTGATTGGATAAAAATTGCGAATTCTAGAGTCGAAAACAGTTGTAATGTTACCGTTCACTTATGGCCAGCACTGTAGTCGTCCGACCCTGGTTCATCTAAGGCCACACATAGCAGCATGATCAATGCCATGTCGACGCCGGGAGAAATTTTCGACATAGTATTGATCACGGAGGAAGTCGATTGGAATCCACACCTTGGCCACGGGCACGCCGTCGCACATGATGACGGTTTTGCAGCCGAGCCAGTCACCTTGGATGCCGAAATGGTACCGCTGGCCGGTACAGGAAACGTTGAGTAAATTGGGCACAGTAGTACATTGCATATTTTTATAAATGGATACATGGTTAAATAAAACTGCATTATAACCAATCAGATTAAGTAAAATCCCACCAATCAAAATTTGAGATATATTGGGATAATCTCTGTGATTGGAAAGTCAGCAACTCAAAATAGATATTCTGATTGGCTAGCTCCACGATTACTTCATCCGCGACCGCATCCGCCTCATGGAGCTTAGGTTACTCCTATACTAGAGCCTAGTAACGGCGTGCTTACTTTATGCAAGGTGCAAATTTGTGTGTGGTCGGTTTGGTGGTCAACATGGAGATTTCGCAATTCACTGTCAATCGGGAATTTCAAGTTACGTTATTAGAGACCTTTAGCAAACCCGAAAATTGAAATTCCCGAAATCAAACTTCGGGTTACTCACAGCTACGAACTTCGTGAAGTCCAAATTCCGCTCGGAATTTGGCTCAAATATACGAAATCGCATGACCATTCCGTATATTTGAACTTCAAATCACCGAAATGTGTAAGCCAATCAAAATACATCAAAATGCAATGGGTGGTGGGGTGGATTGTGCTTGCTGGACGTAGATGAACTGTTCATACATGTACTTCGAATTCACTCCAATGGTTGACACACAACCTCAACCACCAGCCAAGTACGTTACATGGACGGAAGAATGCGTGAGGGGACACGAATCGAACCATTTGCAGCAGACCACGGCGAGCTGCTGCAGTGAAGGAAGTTGGTTGCAAGTGGCCTTAGCGACCAAGTACCCAAGATCAACTACCGTAGTGTCCGTGAGCATGTTGACGTGACTGCAGATCGCCGTCTCAAGATGGAACGCAATCGGTTGAGTAGCAGGGATTGCCGTCTAGGTAAGTCGAGCAGCAAGGAGAGCGGCACGCGGACACATCTTTACGACTGGTTAATCGTCAACGCTTACTATGAGCATCTCCACCGCGCCCAGTAAATTGGCCAATCAGTAAATCTGTGTGCTGATTTACTGAAATATTTTCGCACCGCATCATTATCCGGTTCAGTACTTTGCTGACCAGCAAACATTCCAGTAAAAGTCACACAAATTTGATGGACTTGTATTGGATTTGCTGGAGTCAGTATCCGGTTATAGTGGCCGGATATCGACATCGGTGCATAAACATGGAGCAGCGAAGCCTCCAGGACCATGTGTTGGAACTGTCCCACCAATTATTCTTGAAATGCGTAACCTTGTAAACTTATATATTACCTGACCATAATGAATACCCTATCCGCACAATTTGTATGCATCGAGATATAAACAGTTCAAGGTTAAAAAAGTGATCATAAATTGGTCCTTAAAAATAGAGTATACTTGCTTGGAAAGTCGGCTTTTTGTTTTAGAAGTACATCTTGAAATGTAATAATTCGTTTATGAAGTGAAAGCTCTGTGTTCGGTTGTTAAGAATCACTTCACAAAATGTGAAAAGTCGTCCTGTGAGCCGAGAAATGCAAATTGTACGGTGACTACTCCGAAAAAGTGATCATAAATTGGTCATTTACGTTAAACGATATTTTTCCCTCCACAAGGTTTCAAAAGGTTTAATTTATCGGAGGTTTCGTTTTGTCCAATCAAAAGTGCGAATGAATTCGATTGGATAGAGCAAATCGTCACATCGATGAAGAATCGGCACATCAATGGTCCGTTACATTACTATGACTGTTGTACAAGACCTCACTGTCAATTTCGAATCCATGCAAAATTAAATAATGTAAATAAGTACTACCGTATCGTGTATATGCAGTGCGACGGATTAATGCATTGCGACTCCTGCAGGAATTGATATTTTTCAATTGAGTTGCAACATCAGATATGCCAGTATAAACCTCCCGCGGGCATACCCTTCAAGGATTAATATATACTCGCAGATCAAATATAATATCTATTACGCGCGGGAATCACGTCAAGCGCTGTTTCAGGCCTCATGAGCATCGGGCCAGTGATCAAATTGTGTGATGGAGAACGAAGACCCACAAGCACCGCTACAAAGACGACCACGCGGCCGACCCGTCCTGACCGGCCTCTACAAGGCCCGACCCAAGAAGTTCAAGTACCAGAACATTACGTACAAGAAGAAGATGGAAGTCATCGAATGTGTTGACGCCCTTGGCGTGGCCGAGACGTTAGACAGGCACTTTGGACACCTCCGTGGACCGTCCCGTGAGACAACAAGGAAGAAGATATACAAGTGGTTAAAGCAGCGGAACATCATCCAAGAGAAGGCTGCCGACCGGCGGACGGCCAATGGTGTGCACGTGACTCCACACATGCTGCAGCTGAGACTACCATCGACTTGGGACTCCCAGACGACGCTTTCCATGCTGGCTGGCACTGGATGCGTGGGTTCAAGAAGCGGCATGGTCTTGCTATTCGAGCACGCACGCGCCAAGGCCAAGACACTCAAGGCGATGGCGAGGCGGTGCTGGCCGCGTTTGTGCAGAGGGTCCAAGCTGTAGTCGTCGAACACGGTATCGACGTAATATACAATGCTGACCAAACTGGTGTCAACTACGAGTACCTGCCTGCCAAGATCATGCAGTCGAAAGGAGAAAAGACCGTATGGATCAAGTGCGGTGGCAAGACCAAGGATCGAGCGAAAGCCATGCTTCTTGCCAACTCGAACGGCGACAAGCTACCCATGTTTCTTGTGCTGAAGACCACTGCGTCCAAGGTCAAGTCTGTTGTCCAAGAGAACCTGACTCAGCGCCATGGGTTCGGTAAGCAAGTGTGGAAGCAAGTCGAGCCTCTCCAAGCACGATTCAACTGTCGTCTATACGACAATCCAACTGCGTGGTGGAACTCCGACATCAGTGTGGCATTTCTCAAGTTCCACTTTGAGAACCGACCGGATCGTTCGACCAAGAAAGTGTTGTTGTTGTGGGACGACTTTTCGGCCCACTTCACTGACGAAGTTGTGGAGTGTGCCCGTTAGTTGAATGTCGTGTTGGAGAAGGTCCCTCCAAGATTCACGTGAATCTGCCAGCCTGCCGACATTGCATGGATTCGGCCGATGAAGACTCGACTACGGCAAATGTGGATTGACCTCATTCGACGCCAAGTTCGGCACCACAAGCACCAAGCGACGACTTTCAAGTTGGTTCCTCCGTCCCGTGCAACGAAAGTGCTGTGGATTACACAGGTTTGGGACGATTTGCCGCGTTCAACAATTCTCAATGGGTTTGGGAAGTGCAAGTTGATTCAACCTGTCACCCAAAGTGACGAGATTGAAGCAGCTTTTGTAGATGATGACATGTTGGTTGTGCAGTGGATGATACCATTGACCCATCCGATGACATTGACCATCACGATGAATTAGAATAATTGTATACGATTTTGTATATGGATCACACCTTCAGAATTCGTATACCTTTACGTATCAATATTGGTAAAAACTCTATCTATTTTACGACACGAGCAGCAGAATCACATGACATCATATTCGTATGTCGCAATGGATTAACAATTTTTCATCGAGGAGCGTCGTGGGGTTGTGAAATATCACCTGTCGCACTGCTTATACACGATACGGTACTACACCATTTTTCGTTTAAGTTCAGGTTATTTTGCGGTATATTTCGTCCGACGCACAACTGATTCACGCCATGTCCGTTATGTTCGCCAAACATTCGATATATTTCGTCCAGACCCTACTTCGTTGTATTATATTTCGACTAATGTCGGGAATATGTCACCCCCCAGGCGGTATATTTTACACGTTGTTCAATATATTTCAAATGATGTTCCATCTATTTCGATTTTCGAAGCAAATCAAGTAAATCGCAGGTGTTGGATACTTGTCTAAATCATTCCTCCGAATAGATATGAAGGATTGTGCTTTCGAGCTAAAATTGATATTTTCGGTAGATTCGACGAACGACGTCAAATCCACCTGAAATCGTCGAGCGTCATTTTTCTTGAACTAAATATACTCACTGTGACTTCTGTCCGATACAACGTTGAACTCTTTGTGAAATGGAGAAGCTTGGCGATGCACAGGATACGCCTGTAATTTGATTGATCGAAAGTTTTTTCGAAACTTTCATTGGCTACTTCGTGTCGATTTATCGAAATAGATGGAGCATCATTTGAAATATATTGAACAATGTGTGAAATATACCGGCTGTGGGGTGACATACCGGAGATCAGTCGAAATATAATGCATTAGTGGAAAAAAGTCGGACAGGATATACAGGAACCAAGTGATCGTCGGACCGTTTGTCCGACTTTCTTGTTCGTTGTAATATTTATTATATACAAAAGCGAAGTCAAAACCAGACGTGAGAAATTAACAGAAGAAAGTCGAACCGAATGTCCTGTATCCATTGATTGGTTAAAAGTGCAATGACCTTGGCAGGTGAACAACATAAAGTTTTGCCTGCAACCCGCCAGCTTGCAACGACAGTACAGTACAGTACCTTAGAGCCTGGTACTATTGGAGGTGTGGAGCATCCGTCAGGGGGATCCTCCCTCTGGCGGATGCTCCACACCACCTGGCTGTGGTAGTAGTGGTTGGTCTTGCTCTGGTGGTCGTAGGACGAGCAGTAGTGATTGCTGTGGTGGTGGGTGTGGCTGTGGTAGTAGTGGTTGGTCTTGCTCTGGTGGGCGTAGGATGAACAGTAGTGATTGCTGTGTGGTGGCTGTGGGTGTGGCTGTGGTAGTAGTGGTTGGTTAGTACTCCACATCACCAGTAGTACCAGGCTCTAAGGTACTGTACTGTATTGTCGTTGCTAGCTGGGTGTACAAGATCAAGTTGCGGGACTTGACCAAGAATCAAGGCAATATGTTGTATGAGTGGAAGTTCGCGGTGCAGGAGCTCCAAAACGTTTATAACAGCACGATTGGCACTGGTTTGGGTCGTCCCTACACCTCGGCCACGGCTATAGCTGCATTGCATTTGGCATATAATGGCCAATTTGCCA